ATGATAAAAGGAATGAGGCCAAGAAATAACAAATATAAGAGAAAAGAGAAATCGGTAAACAGTAATATAGAAGAATGACTAAATTGAATCAACAAAATCAAGAATATTTAAATAATAAGGCTCTTGCTGAGAGTTTACCGTCAATTTTACTGCACTGATAGTTCACTCTTTGTAGACACTTTGTATATAACCAGGATCAACTTTGATAGAAAATCAAAGAATTCCATATTCGACTAGAGACAAGAATGTCAAGAAATCAACTCTACAGGTTAAAATAATGTGATTTGGCCCCATTTCAAATGTAGCAGAATGTAAGTAATAAAATGCAAACAACTTTCGTAGTAAGATGAATGGGGGAGATATAATATGCATAGACAAGAATCACTACAGGGCCGACAACCCACGAAAAAAATTGAGTATCTATAATCACAGGTGTACCTTAAGATATTCCTCTAGCCAGATGATAGCTCGCATATCAAGCATGTTGGTCGGTTCATCCAACAACAGAAGATCAGGCTTTGCAAATAGTCCACTCGCCAGAGCCAAACGCATTCGCCAACCACCGGAAAACTCTTTAGTAGGTTGGCACTATAAAAAGAAAATTATAATAAAAGAATGCCAAAGCATAATTTAACATCGCAGCAACAGTTAGGCAAAGAAAAGACAAGAAAAATAATGCGAGTCCAATGATGACTAAATCAACTTTATTTTCAACGTATCAAAAGTGTGAAATCAATAGGCAACTTTTAAAATAAAGCAAAAAATGAACCCCGCAAATATGTCCAAAAAAACGGATGGATAATTTATGAAGGTTTTTTGATTGCAACAGCGTAACGAATTATTTTTACCAAAATAGTCTGTTAAATAATGAAAAAACGTTAATAATAATACAATGCATCATAATGAAGTATTGTACCTGCATTTCAGTAGTAAATCCCAGTCCATGCAAGACTCTAGCAGCTCGAGCAGGTGCTTTATCTGCCTCAATTGCCTGCAGTTTTGCATAAATATCGAGAATCTCGGCATTTTGTGAGCTGTTGACAGGCGAATTTTGATCTTGATGAAGCTGGATTTGTAGATATCCCAACCGCTGAAGCAATTTATGGCGTTCTACATCCGCCGATAGAACACTATCGATCGCCAGAGTAGAATCACCGACGATTTCCTGTTCGACATACAAGACACTGATACCAGCA